AGGGTGGAGATCTGACCTACCTTCCCCAGGTGGCTAGGGGAGCAAGCGCCCCCAGCAGAGCAGGGTAGTGCTGGGGGGTGGGTCCATGGCTCTCTGCCTGCCAGGAGCTTGCTGGGACTGTGGGGTGGAGCCCCTGGGAGTACGTGGGGCCGGAAGATCTAGGGGATGGAAGTCGAGATGTGCTAGGCTGCAGCGGGAAGGCGCTGAGTCTCTGGGGCGAGGCCGCGGGAGGGTGACGGGCCCTCGCTTTACCTTGCAATGGGCCTGGGGCTTTCAGAGAAGGGACAGGGATGCTGTCTAGGGGGCTGGGGACCGGGAGGCAGGACTCCTGGGTTCTGCTCCCAGCTCTGGGAGAGGAGTAGGGGCCAGGGGCTAGAACAGGGCCAGAGTCGGGCCTCCTGAGAGCTGCTTCTGCCCGTGAGCGTGGGCACGCTCCTTCCTCTCCATGAAATAGTCCCATTGACGCTGGCCGAGCACCCGACGTGGGGAGCCCCAGGCGTGAGGGAAAGCGGAGCTGGCCCCTCCATGCAGCCCTCCCTGAGCCGGTCAGGCGCTGGGCCCCCTCCGACGGTCCTAGCCAGGAGGGGAACTTTGGGTTGAATAACGACATGGAAGCCAGGTGTCCCCGTGGCTGGGCTTGGGTCCCCTGCCGCACGCACAGCTCAGCCCCGGCGTTTGCTGGCAAGCTCAGGAGTTGCTGTAACCCCGGCCCGCAGGAAGGGGCAGGAGCTCCGCTCTGCGGGAAACAAGTTGGGCTTGAAACAACAAAGCCGCTAGCACTGGCAGAGGACACACGGGGCGGGGGCCAAACTCGGGGGGGGGGAGGGGGACTGTGCAGCGGGTTGCCCACTGGCCTGACCCCCCCTCGTCATTGGCACCAGTGTGAATCAAGAGCAAGTGCCGGGGTGCCAGGAGCCGCTGGCGACAGTGTGAACAGAACGAGGTCTAGTGGCCGTCAGTGTAACTTGCACTGATTGGCCCACCTGTGAGTGTCACGGGCCAGGACGGGGGAGCAGCAGGCAGGACAGGAGGGCGTCTGGGGTAGTTTCTCCCCCTACCCTGTCCTCTTCCCCTCCTCGCCGCTGAGAGTTGCACAGCCCTTGCACCCCCGCTGGCTGGCAGACCGGGGGACCCCGCTCCCTAACCCCGGCGCGGCTCCATCCTGATTTGCACCGGGGCCAAAGCACGATCAGGAGCAGGCCTGTGTGACCCCAGCTGAGGAGCTCCCACAAGTCATTTACGTCACCCCTGGCTTTGGCCTGCTTGGCACCCTCCTCCACCAGCTCTGAATTTGGCCCCGTGTATTTATTTATAGCTGATATGGCCCAACCCCTCCCAACGGCAGGTTTGGCCGGCAGCCTGGAAAATGCCATGGATCAAAGGGTTAACTTACCCTTTCTGCCCTGGCTCCAAACCCGGCAGGATAGAAACAAATCAGCAGGTTTTTTTCAGCATTTTCCTCCGAAAGGGGAAAACGCTTCGGACTCACCCAGCCAGTTCGCCCTGCTCCCTTTAGGGAAGGGCCCGGCCGCGGCGCGTTCCCTGTCACAGCACCACGGGCCCTCAAGGGTTAAGTGGGAAACCGGGACGGCCATGTGCACCTTTCGGTATGAATATTAATAACGCCAGTTGTTGTAGGCAGGATCAGAGCATTAAAAAGTGAAACGACGTAAGGGGAGGAGAAAGGAGAAGGACTCTCTCCCCGAGGAACCGCACGGGACGCTGCGCGGCTGGGAGAGAGAACACGCCTTCCCCCAGCGTTTTGGGACAGCTAAACCCAGGAACCAGTTACCCCAGCACGGCCCCCACCTCCCCCACACACACCAGCCCCCGGGGAGGATCAGCACATGGGACGCCGTCCAAGCCGACGCGGGCCGAACTCCAAGGCTACGGGCTGCTTGGGAATGAGAGCGCAGGAGTTTCTGGAGAGGGGAGCTGGGCTGGACTCTCACCCGTGCGCAAGTCCCCGTCCGGGTGCTCAGGTCTGATCAGAGGCTGAAATCTTCGGGAGAAGGTCAGGCACCTGGGACAGTTAGTTCCCAGCTCCCCTCTGGGCAGTGAGCCCAAGCCACCAGCATCCAGGAGATACAGGTGGGAGCTGGGATGGCAAAGCGCCCACCTGATGTCAGGATTAGCGGAAGGAGAGGAGCGGGCACAGAAAGCCAGGAGGGCCTGACATCCAGCCAGCTGACCATGGGCTCCCAGAGCATCTGGTAAGAGTATTTCTTCCTTATTACCCCTTTGCAATCTGCCCTTCTCTAGCCCCTCTCGTCTGAAGGTTCTTCAGATGTGTGACGAGCACTAGCCATGGGAGCCCCACCACATCCACAAATGTTATTAGCCCCAAATTGTACAGATGGGGAAACCGAGGCACAGAGCCGGGAAGTGATTTGCTCATGGTCAGCAAACAGAACCCAGGAGTCCTGACTCCCAGCCCTCGCCCGTCTCTAACTCCTTGATCCTTCCCCGCCCTCAGCTTAGAGAGAGGAACAGCACAGGGAAACGTCCGCCAGCACACGTGAGGCAGGTCACTGAGATGGTCTGTGAGCTCCAACTGACCTGGGCTGGGGCAGCGTAAGGTGCTTGTTTAAGGCGGGGGGGGGGCAGGGGTGATGTGTGGGTTTCACTGTGATTTGGAAGTGGGGAGAGTTCTTACGTGTGTATGTCCCCCCCGCCCCCGGCCACATGAGAAAACTTGTCGTGTCCCAGTTGGAGCATCCGCAGCTGATGCAGCTTGCTGAGATACTGAACCAGGAACACTTCAGGCTCCGCTAAAACCCGCTCGACCGGAGCCTGTGAGATCAAAGGAGAATTCCCCCCCCCACCGTACCCCAGAGCTTCAGATGGACTCCGTGGGTGAACTCTGCACGCAGATGGCGCCCCGTCCGGCCTGGCACGGGCCGCCAGTGTGCCAGGTGCTGGTGCAATGACGTTCAGTGCCCTGGCACACGGAGGGGTTGGTGATCTGCTGGCTACAGTCTCTGATCACCTCCCGTGCAGTGAGGATAGGTTAACAAGGGCACCTCCAGGAGCTGGGGATCCTTGCCCCTCCGCACCCTCACACATGGGCATGGCATTAACTCGCCAGCACTGGTACGTCCAGAGGGCATCTCAGGGGGGTGAACGGGTCTGATCCTGCCACCTTCCCTCACCCAAGCCGTCTTCCTCTTGGGTGAGTGCGAGGAGAATCAGGCTGAATGTGTGTCCGGGTGCAGGACTGGGGCCCTGTTTCTGCCCCGTGGGCTGGATTCTACCTTCCTTCCCTGTGTATCACTAGAGAGCAGTGTAGGGTGTGGCCCAACGAGTGAAACCATCACCAGCCCAGGCTACCATCCTGGCAGGGCTCCGGTCAGCGTGTTCTGTTCTGGGGCCTGCAAAGGGACCAGACACAAAACTATACCCCCAGTCGCACCTCCACTTGTTCCACGTCGGACTCCTCTTTTGAACAACGGCGGGACTCATCTGTGAAAGGTCCCTGCGTCAGCCAGGCGGAGGGAGCAGGGACGGATGGAGACAACGCCCCCACAGGACTTTCCCGGCCTGAACTTCTGCGAGAAAACCCAGGGCAGCCGGGGGTGGGAGGAGGGGTGGTTAATGTAGAATTTTTCAAGGCAAACGCATTGCTTGTTCTCCCCTGCATAGCAATGGAATCCCTCAAACCGGACACTGTTCGGAGGAGGGTTCTATGTTTCAGAGCTCCAGGAATTCTAAGTGGGGTGCAGTCTAGAACCCGCCGAGTTCGAACCCCACCCCGTGAGCATGTCGCTTCATCCCAGATCCATGTGCAGGCCTAGGGGACCCAGCCTTCTCGCACCCCACGTGAATCCGTGGCGGCTACATTCTAGAACCCGGCTCGATTCTAATGGGTTCTAAATTCTAGAACACGCAGGATAGGCTGGCCGGGGGCGGGGGAGGGGGGTTTGCAGGCTAGCGCTCCCTTAGATCACAAGCCCTTTGGGGCAGGGACGCTGTGTATGTGTG